AATTTCCTTCAAAAGTTTTTTCATGCTTGACTGGTCATGGGCGATACTATCCGCGAGAGGGGAGTAAGGAAGTGCAACTTGAGAGCGCCATCTGTCGTGGAGTTTGAAGGAAGTGCGGGAGCAGAAACGGAGAGAGGCGAGTATATATATATATATATATCAAGAGTACATAATAGATATATATATATATATAGCGCCCAGAAAAAAGAGAAAAATTGCGGAAGAGAAAGATACAGAGTGTGTGAGAAAGAGAGCAGAGCAGTAGAGAGAGCAGATAAAGAGAGAGAGAGGAGGAGAGAGACGAGAGAGAGGTATTATGTGTGTGGCGTGCGTGGCGCGTGTGGCGTGCTGCGTGCGTGCTGCGTGCGTTGCGTGCGTAAAGAGAAATATTGCGACAGAGAGAGAGAGGACTAGACGAGAGATAGAGCAGAGAGAGAGAGAGGAAAGAGAGAGAGAGAGAGCGAGAGAGCAGAGAGAGAGAGAGAGAGAGAGAGAGAGTCGAGCGAGAGAGAGAGAGAGAGAAAGGAGGAGAGAGAGAGAGAGAGAGAGAGAAAGAGAGAGAGAGAAAGAGAGAGAGAGAGCGAGAGAGACGAAGAGAGAGGAGAGAGAGAGAAGAGAGAGAGAGAGAGGAGGAGAGAGAGAGAGAGAGAGCAGAGAGAAGAAATAAGAACAACATGGACACCAATGCAGATATAGATAAACACTATATATATGTAAAATTGTCTACAAGCAACAGATAAACGTACACGAAATTTAACTGTAAGAAGATTGAAATTTATTCGCATATTTACATTCTAGTTAGACAATTTCGTATAGCACGACTAAATTTCACATTCATAAGAGATTTATAATAACATTTAATAACACTAAGCAGCCTATATTGCATAAAGATCTGAACATGCTACAAAACTGATACAAGATGTATCACAGAGCAGTTTTATACAACAAGTGGCCGCGGAGTGACAGCGCTCATCTAACCGTCTACTGCGTGACTGCTGTGGTGGAGAGGTGGGATTCTAGTAAACCCTGCTTAGTCCCACATGTGTTACATACGCGCCGAAACAGTGGAAGGGCACAGGGGTGGTATCAGGAACCTTCTCAAAAGAATGTTTGTTGGAATCGTTATGAAAGTTGCCACGAGATGGCGCGTAGCGTTTAAGTGTCTTAAGATTAAAGATGGAAGCTCCCATCGTAACGTAGTACCAACAAACTATTGCAAGACAGAATAGGTAAGCATCATCCATTTCCTACGCCACGCCTACAGGCGAATAGAAAGCTGCCACTAGCTGTAAGCTAATTAACGCAGGCCAAAACTACACAGTAACTAATCACCACCACATGCCCTGGCACGTGGCCACTGCAGTGGCATAAGTTAACAAGATTGTAACACACTGACAAGTACAGAATGCCATATCGAAATTATACGATTTAAGTAGCATAAACCTTCCTTCACACAAATTTGCTTATTGGAATTTCACTCTGCATTGTAGGCCTCATACATCCAGGCCTGATATGANGAGAGAGAGAGAGAGAGAGAGAGAGAGAGAGAGAGAGGAGAGAGAGAGAGAAATAAGAACAACATGGACACCAATGCAGATATAGATGAAAATATATGAATGTAAAATTGGTCTAACAACAGATAAACGTACACCGAAATTTGAAATTAGATGTAAGAATTTATTCGCATATTCAGTTCTAGTTGGACAATTTCGTATAGCCAGATAAATTTCACATTCATTAAGAGAATTTATAAATAACATTTAATAACACTAAGCAGCTATACTTGCATAAAGATCTAACATGCTAAAACTGATACAGATGTATCCACAGGGCATTTTAATACAAAAACCGGTGGAAAGGAGTATATAGTAATATACAGTAAACGTATGCACTAATTCTGCGCAAATCATGAACTCTCATTGATCAACTACCATTAGTAACAACAGTACAAGATGCAAAATATTCCATGGCTTTTGCCTTATGTTAAATCAGGAGTAAAATAACATGGGTTACGCATACACCTCATCGTTTTACTCCTGATACCATACTGTACAGATGCTGATGTTACTAATGTACATGTATGCATCTTCATCCAACTTCAAGTATATAAATGGTGGAATGTTTCATCGTATATTCTCGTTTGATTTGTAGTTGCATCACAGTATATTGCATGTATATACTTGCAAGGTGGCCAATATAGTTACGTGCATAGTTTTGCCACGAGCAAAATGCGTGTACACTAATACCATATCCACATCTATACCATATGTACATGTGCAATGGCACTATAGGATTTGTTCAGGAGTCTATCAATTGATAGACTCCTGATTTGTTGTGGTATTGATACCGATTCATAACTTTCACAAAAGGCCATTTTGCATGTGTTCACTCAATGACTTTAGAAAACGTCCCGATGGTGACAACCATGGTGACCTCTAGGTGACCTCTATTGCACTGTTTTCATAGCCTATCCTAGTAGCATATATGCAACTGCGAGTTGAACACAAGACCTTTTTAGTGTTAGCAAGTAGAATGCTACAACTCTTCATGAAAATGTGACATTCCGTATGCTAAACGCATCATACTACCAACCTAAATTGAATGTATACTGCACGTTTAACAACCTCAGGTATGCTGCACTGATAGTTGTACTAGTTAGTATATAGAGATCAGTGGTAGGCCTACTCCAAAATCTCGAGCAACTGCATTGCTCATGCTAATTATTATTGTCATCTACTAGTGGCATATTGCGAAGATGCTTAACTTAATCAACATCGAAACCACAACAAACTAGAGACTCTAGAGAGCCATTGCATTTTCACAGTGTGGATATACTTGTGCTAGGAATTTCATAATATAGATCTATATTATCAATATTATGACACTCCTGCTTCTGCTGATATATATGTCAGCTACTGCACAACAGTCTGCAATGCTGTTGCGTATCGGAGGGATTTCACGAAACATAAGTGCGTGCGTGCGTGACTGCATGTGAGAGAGGGGGTGAGAGAGGGTGAGCGGGAAGGCGAGAGAATTAACTATATTAGAAGGAATATGTCCATCCGTGCCTGTGTGTGCCGTTTGTGCCATATACGTGCGTTTGTCTGCGCGTGTGTACTGCGCATACGTGTAGACATCTCCGTCTGCATTCTTCCTTCCCTCCGTCCCGCTCTTCTTCCTCCTCTCCTCTTACTCTCTTCCCCTCAGTATTTGCCTCCCCCTCTCGCAGATAGTATTGCCCACGGCATCCGTTGCACGGTGAAAAGTTAGCAAGGCAAATGGCTGGTTTTCAGCCTCAACTTTTTCACCCCCCTCCCCCAAAAAAGGTGAAGATACGGCTATAATTTCATACGCGTTTTTAGAGTCACACAAACACACATACACACACACGAACGGACGCCCACACGCGGGCATGGTCGCCCGCACGCGTGCTCGTGTATTATAGACGTAAATTCACATCATGTGCATCGGGGGGTGAAAAAGTTTCGGCATCGGGGGCTGAAATACGGCAATTTGGAGTCTTGAAATCTTGAAAATCTTCTCTATCTCTCGCTCTCTTCTTAGTATAGCTTTTATAGCCAGTCTAAACATGGCGCCACGCACGTGACAGTACATGACCAATCAGGTACTTCTTGACATATGTGTTCGTACGTTGTTTACAAACCAAAACCACACATACATACATCATTAGAAATGGAAACCGATTCTAATAACATGAATGCGAGCTGCACAAATGTAGTAGGTCTTCCAGGATGGTCGAGAAAACGGGTGCAAAGGGCATCTGGGAAAAGTAAAGGCAAATACGATGTGTACATTATCAGGTGAGTATATTTATGATCAAGGTATAAAACCGACCAGGCCATCCGACTGTTAGTGTTACACGTCGTACACAGTCAGTGAGTCACAGGCACTTGAAGCTTTTCAATAACATATAATGCTAAATAAATACATATTGTCATATATACATATATATATATATATGCATTATATTTTATTGAAACGCTTCAAGTGTCCGTGGACCAGGCTGTGTGACTAACGTCAATATACACATGATCAATGTATCTCTAGTCTTGAACCGTCATGGTCACAGACGAACAAGGACTAGATCTATGACTATGAGCTATGATCAAGCAGGATCCCCCTCGATGTTTATTGTATATTATAGTTATATATACTTAAATTTATTACTTTTTTGCACAGCAATTTAGTCTTTACCTTTAGCTATTGATCGAACAATAATTGAAGACACGTGTGTATTGCATTTGCAGCCCAGATGGCAGGAAATTCCGATCAAGACCTGAACTGCTAACCTATCTGAATATTCATAACAACGTGGACTGCCTTGACGCTTTTAGGAGTGTCGTAAACTTTGCATTTGGCTACAATGCTACAAACATAAACCAACAAAATAAACGCACAACACGGAAACTGCTTGTACGCAAGAGTAGAGAAACACTTGCATCGACAAGTACCGTAATTGATAATGAAACTGATGAAGCACATGGAACGAAAGACGGTTCCAGTCAGCTTCTCTACAGAAAGGATTTGGACTGCACTATACAGGATGCACCCACTTCACCATGCGTTGATCCAGTGATGCAAAGCCCAAGTCGCAGCGATGAAGAAAACTTCCCTCATGTTGCAAGTATATACGTACAAATTAACATAAGGCCAAAACAAAATATAGGTGTGGTTACCGTTTCATGCCGAAAAAAATAGGGTATGTAGGTAGGGAAAACATTTTATTTTATTGAAACATTTTATTTACGAACCATGTCTGAAGGATGTGCGTTGTGCCTTTTGAAGCAAGAACTGTCCAATTCATATTTTTATTTTATTTTTTATTTTTTTTATTTTTTTTTTACTTTAAAGAAAATTGACAATAAAATGTTTAGGGTCGCTGGGAATAAATAGGGTCGGTCGGGAAACGGTAACCACACCTATATTTTGTTTTGGCCTAACCAGAAAATATGAAACATTAAAAGTTGAGTGATACCACAGGGGATGATTGTGAGTGTAATACAGTTATGACATCTCTGAAATTTATTTTGCTGTTGGTCAGCTATCAATCCTTCCACCCAGGTGAGGGCTGTGGTCTAAATAGCTTCACGTGTTTAAGAATGATATTAGTAACCCAGTGTGTCTCCTAAATTTAGAAAGCTATCTTAAACATTGCCCCCTACCCCCTACTAGGTATTGTCTCAGGCATCAGCTATAAGTTCTGTGTATATATATACCTACGAGCCTGTACATGTATGCTCGGGTGTATGTTTCACTTAGATGTACAACATTATTTATATCTTTTTAATTTAGCTACATCGCAAGGAGACCTTACTGCCAAAGGAATTTCTGTCAGGCCAGGAAAATGCAAAAGAGTTACCTCAAAAAGCAAATACTTTAGCAGGAGAGGAAGTTGCAAAGTTATTGGCCCACCACGAAAGCTACGAATGAGGGAAAAGGTACAATCAGTATTAGAGAAATTCCCTATTGAATTATTTTTTTTTGTAAATATATAGCTTTGCTATGTAATTTCTTACATAACAAGTTGATAACATTCCATGCCAATGCTAGAAAGCAACATATATATGATGTAAATTTTCTCATCCTTTTTTGTTGTTGTTTTGGCTGGCTGCGTTATTATGTAATCAGTAACGTCATAATCGACTCCTTGCGTAGATATCCAGCATTCTGAGCCAAGAGGAATCAAGATGGACTCCTCCAAAGTCACCGTATAACCTTGTGCAGGAATGTCTATATCACAATCCGTGGCAGCTGCTTGTTGCCACTATATTTCTCAACAAGACATCAGGTAATAGTGCGCTCTAGGGATGTATATAATATTTAAAGTAATGATTATCAAATCAATTAGTTAACTTTTCTCTCTGAGCGAGATAACCCCTCCCTCTTAAATATTGTTGGTGGGCAGATCAAACTCATGCCAAGATCTTGATTGTTTGCCACTTTGTTACTGTTACTAAGTGTTTTTTAAGGTGGTTATTACGATCAGTTGGGGGAGCCATCCACGACAATTTGAAGGGTAGATTCCCAAAGCAAATATTTCGAAGAAGGGCTACATCAAGGCCATTGACTTTCTAGCAAGAGTTTTTTTACGTGGGACAAAAAGGTAAACACGCTACATGGGATTTATATTAATGGCACAAAGCCATCATCAAATGTTTAGTGACACCGTAGCAAGTTGGGAGAAGGGCTCTTCCAATTGGTACCGTAATGGAATTCGAGCCCTGCTTAACTTAATAATGCCGTGTGACAGGAAATAAAGTCATCCCTCTGCTGTGTAATAGGTAATAAAGCCATTCCTCTACTCTGGAAGTTTCTGGAACTTTATCCGACGCCGGAAGTCGCACGAGTCAGTGACTGGGAGCCGATGGCGAAACTCCTTCAGCCCCTCGGCTTGTACGAGAAGAGAGCTAAGATCATCATTCGAATGTCGGGTGAGCAGATGTGTGCGTAGCTCCGTGCCATCATACTTACGTGCTCCAACATCCAACTATCTTCGAGATTAGCTGGTCACCAAAATGCCCCGAATACGGCAATCCCACGCATCTAACACGAGACGGTGTCGGTTAACCTGCTATCCCTGGAAAGGCCACCAGGGGCTACATGTATTGCAGTGCTTATGTATTGTGATATGCAACATTGAAATGTACGAGTAATGCTTTTTATGTTGGTAGATGAGTTTCTAAGCAAGAAATGGACGTATCCCATTGAACTGCACGGGATAGGGAAGTATGGTAATGATTCGTACAGAATCTTCTGCCTAGGAGAGTGGCGAGAGGTAAGTATTTCTTAGCATCATATTAAAGCATATAGCAATTGTTAGAACCTGAACCGTGGCTTATAGATGATAATATGCTGTGTACAGTGACATGTTATTGTGTATTAGAAACGATATATTTACTCCAACAGGTGGCACCACATGATCACATGCTAAATTACTACCACAAATGGTTAAGTGAAAACCACCACAAGATTGTACCATAATAACGATGAACTTGATGATCAACTTGATTGGAACCATTCTACTTGCCATCAACATGATCTCAGCTAGCCCCACGCTTACGGATAGCCTTTCAGGGATCGAAATTGAGAAAATCCGTGCTAATTGAGTAATTCCACCACATAGCGGTATAGCAGAAGCCTGGGGGGAGGGGGGCACTCCCATTGTTAAAGGTACTGGGACCTGCCGCTGGACAGGGTATATTTTCCAAACATCATTATTGGCACAGGGTATATTTTCCGAACATCATTATTGGCACAGGGTATATTTTCCGAACATCATTATTGGCACAGGGTATATTTTCCGAACATCATTATTGGCACAGGGTTATCTAGATACCCACCCATCAAGCTGATATTGGTCCAATATCATCATTATTGGCACAGGGTTATCTAGATACCCACCCATCAAGCTGATATTGGTCCAATATCGGCAAAACAATATTGGGCCAATATCACCAGGCCGATATTGGACCAATATCTGCCTATATTGACAGGAGGACAGGACATAACTGAAGTGTGCAATATTGCAACAGGGTATACTTTTTAGTGCAGTATATTGGGACAGGGTGTATTTCTAGATACCTATACCCATCAAGCTGATATTGGCCTAATATTGCCAAATCAATATTGGGCCAATATCACCAGGCCGATATTGGACCAATATCTGCCTATATTGACAGGAGGACAGGACATAACTGAAGTGTGCAATATTGCAACAGGGTATACTTTTTAGTGCAGTATATTGGGACAGGGTGTATTTCTAGATACCTATACCCATCAAG